TAACTTGATGTTGAATCAAACTGTTGTGCCATTTATAAAAAATATATTTCTAAGCCGAAACTGAACAATGAAAACATCTGTGAAAGTATATAATATAAAATCCAGATACGCTGTTATAAAACAATATAGATTCTTATTTGTTTTGTCGATTAAGACCCATACAAACTAAGTGTTTTTTTTTGAAAAAAGGGCTTACAGACTAAGTGTGTTAATTTCTTCATCCATATTCATTAATGAATTCTTGGTTCAGCCAAACTTAATGGACAGCTGAATGAGTTCTAATGAGTTCTAACGTCATGCTGAGGGTTATACCTCATTTCTGAAGTTCCAGTTATCACACAAATATATAAAATTTATGTAACTGAAGTCTCAAGTTTTTTTTTCCAGTAAGAGATTCTTTTTCATTTATTTTTGTTATAAGCTTTTCTCAGATGGGAAAAAATTATTGTTTCCATAAAAGTGGTAAAATGTAGACTAGTATAAAATAATGTCTTCGTCAATGATTTCGTAGTAAGGTTTTGTTTAAAGTATTTTAAAATGTTTGATAGTTGTTTGGGGTACATCAACATGTATCTTATGGAGACCTCTTGTGTAAATTAAATTTCAATTGCAAGTTGTTCTTGACCCGTGCAATTTCTATTTGGTGGATTTCTACAAATATATAGGACCGCGAAACACGTTATACAATCTCCTACGCAGAGATGAAGCTAACTTCCACATTTGGGACCATCAAAATAGAACATATTCCAAAAAATCTATACTATATAAAAGTTGAGGCTATAAGCCATTGAGGACGTCCACATAGGATTTAAGTCCTCCAATCGTATAATGACACATCATTATATTAGTTTATTATTTTTATAAAATGTCATTGTTTCCAAATTATATTAAAAACGAAATTAATATTCCATATATAACTTAGCTAACAAAATAAATACTAACATTTTAAAAATTACTTAAAAATGTTAACTGTTATAAAAAAATGGAAATCAAAAATAAAAATGTAATATTAAAAAAACATTATTGTCTTTTTAGATATACTAAATGTAAAGTATCATTTTTATAAAATGTCAATGTTTCCAAATTATATTAAAAACGAAATTAATATTCCATATATAATTTAACTAAAAAAATAAATATTAAAATTTTACAACTTACTTAAAAATGCTAACTGTTATAAGAAAACGGAAAATCAAAAATAATTTTTTTTTTGACAAAACATTATTGTCTTTTTAGATATACTAAATGTAAAGTATCATTTGTAGAAAATGTCAATGTTTCCAAATTATATTAAAAACAAAATTAATATTCCAAATATAATTTAACTAAAAATTAAATATTAAAACTTACTTAAAAATGTTAACTGTTATAAGAAAATAGAAAATNATTAACATAAAATAGAATAAAACAGGTTATTAATATAAAGTATTAATATTTAAAATGTTAAGATTTCCAAATTTTAATGTTAGGATTTCCAAATGTCTGTATATTAACATAAAATACAATAAGAAATTTTATAATATATGAAGTATTGGGTGACTATAAATAACTGTCTAAAGTTCTAAAAGTTTTCAAAATATATGTTCAGAAACATAGATATATTGGAAAGAGAAAAGATATATTGATACAATGGTTGATTTGACTTCTTCTTTGGTTTTCGATGATCTTAGAAAAAGTTTTAATAAGAATGAAGTTCTGGCTAGAATGATTCACTTTTGGGAAGCACGTAACATCTATAAGGTTGGTTTGCTAATGAGTTTCGAGTTATTACTTATTGATCAAAAGATATGAAAAACATTATTAGATATTATCTATCTATACTATATAAAAATTGAGGCTATAAGGCATAAGGACGTCCACATAGAATTTAAGTCCTCCAATCATATCATGACACATA